AAACCTTTTATAGCTATGTTCTCGTTATAAGACACTTTAGCTTTGATAAGTTGTCGTTCTGATGAATCCATAGATGAAAATATCAAAACCACTAGTATCCACTGCAAAAAAAAAATTAACAACGTCGCTTATGATATTTGTTTGTCAATATTGCTTGTTTAGTGCAGAGGTTTTTCGTGTTATTTTTGCGAAGAAAATTGGACTCTGGTATTTTTATGTATGTATCAGAGTGGCGAGCAATCGCGTACTACCTTGGCACAAATGCGACTCACAGTTGGTTGAGACATAACATGGATTTCTCCCCCATCATTTTGAATCTAAAATGTTACAATGATATTTAAAAAGTACATAGGTATATTAAAGTGTGGTATATATACTCCTAAAAGTGCTTACTTCACGACGACCCCAACATCTTACAGCGGTTAACACCTGTAACTCTGGTGACGTTCCTCAACCTTTGGAGCTCTGGAGTCCAGTTGCAAGACTTGCCTGACGAGATCAATTATAAGGGCCATGGTATTTTTGTCGAAACGGTATCGTCGATTGAACTCTACATCTGGTAAAGAAAACGGATCACATCTCTCCTAGTAAATCTTTCGACGACGTGAAAAAAAAACATTTTCTGCTCGTTCAATAGCATGTAATGGTTGCAGAGCTTGCATAGCTAACGATATCACCAAACAATTTTATAAAAAAAATATCACTACTTAACAGCTCCTTGTAAATAACCACATGAACGAACGAACGACGACAACAAACTTTAACAAACAAACAAACCTCAAAACAAACGGTTTGGACGCAAAAAAAATTAGCTGTTGCACATTTGTCGGCCATATTCCTCCGTATTAAAGGTTTATAGTAGGGTCGAACCTTATAAGTAACGAAGCCTCTATGAATACTTACAAAGCTTTTCAGCGTACTTGACGTTTATGAATAATGCTTTTCGGGATTCTCATTAAACAAGCTAATAAACCTGTTTTATCATTTTATGAATAAGAGAGTAAGTGTTCAAAACAGTTCTGTAATAGCGAGCTAATATTTTCTCGCTCGGTAAAAGGAAACATTAGAGCGTTTGTAATTCATCATCATTTCATTTTAACGGCGATCGTCTGATCTGTTTCAAGTTTTCATACAACATTTGACAATGACATTTCGTACTCGCAAACGTTACGAATACGATATTGGTTCGTGCTAAGGGTACTGACCTAATTGTTTGCTCGATAGCTAAATGATGAGACAGCTATAAGTTTGGTATTATGTACAGGCAAAAAATCCGTAAAACAAAAGCCCCAGTACCTAACCCTATTCAAATCACAGCTCAGAAGCGACAAGATGTCAATATGTCAAAGCGTAGGTGCTCGGGAACACGCGATTACATCGTGAATTCGTGACTTTTCTATGAAATCTTAGGTATTACTGCGAAAACAGCCTTGCTTTTATTCATGCAAATAAAAAAATGATTAGATGAAATAGAAAAAAAAAAGAAATAGTTTTCACAGTCTTTACTGACAATTACATAGTTAGCTTTACAACGATTTAAATTAACTAAATAATAACAACTTGATAGCATAGCGAAATATTTAGGAATGCTGTAAATATAAAAAGGAAATACTCAGAAACAAGGCAACAGTATAAAAATACATAGGTCATTAAAAACACACTTAACATACCTAATTTGTACAATTTTAAATTTGCCGTTGTATATATATATATATATATTTTTTATTGTGATTATTAATTAATAAAATATCCAAAAAAATAGGGTAGGTACTCACTATGACTTCCGTGACATTTATAATGCGATGCAAATGAATATGATATAACATGACAGTTAAATTTCAATTCAATACAATAATAACAATAATCGCTGGTCCAAAAATTAGTATACGGAATGCTGCAATTAAAAGTCACAAAAAATATATTGTTTGTTACATTTTAATTCGTAGTTATTGCCACAGTATAAAACAACCCCCGTCAACACGTAACAGTGAGTACCCGCCCTTAAAGGCCCAACCAAAGAAAGATACTATGTAGGTAGGTATTTACATATACGTTTCCAAAGTTAGCCGAGCGATACTACATTAATGTAATGGCCTCATAAATTTCAATTTCAACTGTAGATATAAATCTTATAACAAATCACAAGAATAACCTCTAATACATAACTATCGGTGAGTTAACAAGAGAAGCCTCTTAAAATTATATACTTCGCGTTTTTCTGTTGTTAATAGAGCCATAAGCATCATTACAAAAACAGTTTTAATAAAAAGGGTGATTATCGCGTTTCTTGTAAATTAACCCTATTTGTTTGTTATATTATTCTAATCGTTCTTTCAATTAAAAAATATTTTTGAAAACATTTTAAGCATTAATCTGTTTGATTTATAACCTATTTTTTTTTCAGATTATAGTGACCGATTTTTTTCTAGAACAAATTTCTTGAGATGTTTTTGAAGTTATACTTCTTTAGGCGCGTTATGAAAAAATGTTGAGAGTGAAATTTTAAGATGCGCGCGCATCACTATAACACAAAAATTAACAGAATGAAGTTTTAGCTTTAGCGACCAACTTCATGCTGTTACTTTTGTGTTTACCGCACATTAAAAAAATCTACCAACAAAATAGAAATAGAATCTCTATTTAGTGGGTGCTAACGACTGCATTGTGAAGGCCTATCAAAAGAACCAAAGCGCGATTCAGGAGACTACAGCGCCATCTCTTGACCATTGGTGTAGTAGAACCAAAAACCACATCTTTATTTTTTGTAATAAAGTAACAGTTATAGATATTCATATTTATAATATTTATCCACATGTTTCTAGTTTGTATATTCGGAATACGTGTTTGAGTTTCATACAAGTGCAAATCACATATGTTCTAATAAATTATATTCAGTAGCGATTTTAATTGAATATTTTGATTATTTATTTATTTTTTCAAATTAAAACTGAACTTTATTGACTGTGTCCTTTTCCAGACTTTTTATTAATTTATTGTAATTAATTATTTGCATGCAATTAAAAACTAATTTTAAACGATGCCAAAGAAGGATAACTTCTCACGCGCCTACATAAGTACACGCACCCATTTTTTTTTTACTCTACAGATGTTGAATGTGTTAATTTGCTATCTAAAGATATACTTGATCTTTGCTTATGGTTCTAAAATAACAATTAAAACACGGTTTACAACTTTTTTTCACAAAATCCATACAACTTTCGTCAATCATACAATAAATCACAAACATGAATGAAAACTGAACCATTAATATAAAAGCTCATTGTCTCAAAATATTGTAGGTTTAGGTCATAAAGTTTTTTTTTCTTTGTTCGTAATGAACTTTATTACGAAGAAAGAAAAAACTACTTTGAATAGTTTACCCATAAATTGTAAATATTTTTTTAACCAATTCATTCCTTTTTTGTAAACAAAAAATTGGCCTGAATCTGGCATGACATAGCTTACTACTACTAGTACTAAAGTTGAAAACAGTTTCAGGTTTTAATTCTTGAGTACTTAGTGCAGACAAGAAAATAGTTTTGTATTTTATTTTAGGTTCAGTGAATCACACCGAAGTCCAATTTTATTAAAATCAATAAAGACCAATTTATAAAATCCAACTAAGAAAATTAACATTTTCTGCTTAATCTGATATGTAGATGATTGTTTAGTATACATCGAATTATAAGTTTTAAATTCGATTCGAATTCTTTAGTAAGTATATAATATTTATTATTAAAAATATACTCAAGGCCTCGTTATTATAAGCTCGTACATATTCAACAAACAATTTACAATTTATACACCGCGTCTATTAAAATGCTCATACTAAAGCTAATTTGAATAAGTGTGATTCAAAATCATTTTAAAAAAATATAAAAATACAAAGTTATATAATCACGTAGACGGCAAAAATAGTAGCTCAATTTTAAACATGGGACTGTATCTCCTCGCTTCGAATTGTTATATACGAAAATAAATAACACAAAATAAGATTAAACTATCTTTCCACTACCAGTATATTTTATTTTTATTTTTATGGTAAGTAAAGCCTTTTTGTTTAAATAAACAAAAAGTTAATTAGTAAGTTTTGATAAGTTTTACTACTTACCAAACGAATGACAAAAGGTGTGAAATCCAACTCCCACCAGGGGATTTTCGATATATTACTTACATACAAATTACATTTTTTTTCTTCATTTAAATAAACCTATATTAAGCAAATTGGATTATATTATATATACACGCTTACTAAGAGAGGTTATTTTTTTTAATAAATGAAAAATTCTAATGTTATAGAAAGGGAGAGACAGTCCTCTATCTAGCTACTGTCATAGTTTTAATTCACAAAGTTTAAATAATTGTCAAACATAGCTCTTTCGCTACAATTAGAACATAGAAGTTCACTTTACCTTAACAAACAACACGCAACAATTTCGACTCAACATGAGCCACGTAAAATGTCAAATATAATAATACATTATACTCAACAGTTCAAAAAATATATATTTGTTATATGTTTTTATAGATTGCAATAGATTGTAAATATATTTCAATTTGTAATGTGTATAAATAAAATAAAATGTCGCAGCAAAGGCACCTATATTTTGTACTGTATAAACAACGTTACAATGGATATAAATCGTATAAAAAATTCGACACAAATATAAATTGGCGAAATGTCAAATCATTAAAAATACTTTGTATATTTACAAAAATGTTATCCTACATACACTTAATAAAATGGCACATTCTTCTTTCCTTTCCAATAGCCATAAATTACAAAAGTCCTAATCTAAAAAAAGATGTTGCAATCATATTCTGAATAAAAAAAAAACAAGATTAAAAATTAGGTAATTATGTACAATTTAGTCTGCATGGCACTGGGTTTTACTTACTTTAATACCAATGAATAACATCCTAATATAAACAAATTTCACAATAAAATGCCTCTAACCGAGATCTGCACCTATCCTGCTTAAATTAATTATATTTCCCCAAAACATTTCTAAAGAATTAAGTACGTCAAACCTTAAAATATTATATTAAAATCACATGAGATTCGATCGAATTAACATTCACCATATAATAATACCACCAATTTTAGAACATTTTGTTCAATTAATGCAACAGCACTGTTTTGTTTTAATTGAGTTCTGGTTTCATAGAAAAACTTGTTGTATTCACCATCAAAAAAGTTTTTAACCAATACATTACTGAAAAACAAACATCCATTGCACTGATCCTACTAATCCCACTTACGCAATCGACTAGATCTCTTCTTTCTAATTCAAATCCAAGAACACTTCGTCGTTATCACTTTAGTGTCACTTCACCTAATTCCACTCTTTGGTCCGAATCAAACAAAATATTAACAAAAAGTTCTCAGTAAAATTTATCTTCTTCAGAGTCCAAATTGTTTTTACTGTGTGGTTGGTTGGAATGCCTTCTCAGGGTGCCCATAGAGTCGTATTCGTTGGCTATCGCTTTTGGGTAAAGTTTAGGTGTTGACATTGTTGTGTTTTGGTTGTTAGCGTTGGTTATGTTGTTGCTTTTGGATAATATTATACCGCTGGTACCGCCGATGCCGGTGAACGAAGGCTGTCGTTTGGCCTTGCGAGGCTGTGGAAGATGCCATATTTTTAACAACAATTGAAAACAATGTGCAGTGAAATGAAATGAATTATACTTTATTCAAATTCACATAAAGAAAGCTTTTTTGAATCATCCAATATTTTTCCCTACCACTCATTCAGGATATCTTTTAGCTGATAAGTTGAATGGGCGCAAGAAACTTATCACCTTTAACAGAAGTAGCAACATTAACATAAAATCATGTTGCTACCAATACAATTAATTAGATACATTAATTAGTTATGTGTTATATAGTTACTTGTCAATTTGATGAGGACACTTTGGTGTAGACAAGGATTTTACTTTTGAATAATAAATTCCTGTAAGTTCTCGAAGTTATTAAAATTTCGTCGTCGCATAATGAATCCTTACCAAAATAAGTGTTTGATAAGCAAAATTTATCAAACACTTATTTGGGAGGATAAGGATTTATATTAATTTCATTATCTTATTATATATATGTGTAAATTCAATATAAAATGTATAATAACTTACCACTTCCTTCAAAGGTACAGTTACGTAACTGTTCTGCTTAGCAGTGATGTAGTGAGGGCTCGAAGGAACCCTGGTCCTCTTGTGCCAGGGGAACCGGGAACCACGGCGCTGCACCATTATGACACACGCCAGGCAAGTCAGACAACCTATGAATAAGAAGGAAAACAGTGAAATTACTAACAGTTACAAGTTTTTCAGGATGGGCTATAATATTCAAACACCTAATTTGTCCTATCTACCAAAAAATATTTAAGAAAACTATAAATTGTAGCAAAAAGTTTCAGATACTAAAAACAGTTCATTAGATTAAGTACCATTAACAAAATAATCAGAAGTTTTCTCTACTAAATCCCAAAATGTGTGTATCCGCATATAGATGTATTTATTATTTATCAAAAATGTGATTAAATTTTAAAAAGTTGGATAAATAATTTTTTTATTTTATTTATTATAAAATTATTTTACCATCACTGTGATGTGTGATAATGATCTTAAAAAAAAGTGGCTAAGTTGTGCCTTAACCATTTTGTGTGTTCCATCCTTGTCAAGGGGAGTGCTAACCGTCTCTCCTTTCAATAGACACATTGCACAGTTGACATAATAATGATATATACTTAAGCGATTTAAAAACTTTAAAAGCGTGATCTAGGAATTTTGTAGTTTTTTATTATATTTCTGTAGTAAATTTAACAGTTTTTTTTTTTAAATTACGATGGAAAATAATTTCACTAATTTTAATAAGTTAAACAAAAACACTTGTAGTAAAACAATGAAATGTTCATTAAAATGTAAGTGGCTAACCCCAATACAGCTCACCAACGCCATCTACAATATGTGTACAGAGTTACTCACACAGTGGTATCAGAACAAAGTTGGCCTGATTGCAAGGTCGTTGGTCACCAACTTGTTTGTCTATAAATAACTGCGCCTCGGTATGATATGGTTGATACAGAGAAAAAGAGGTCGCTAAGATACATAATGTAAATTAAAACCAAAGTATGTTTGACTCTTAAAAACTCCACTGTTGAAGTTCCATTCATCGGTAGGAGCCTAATATTATAAGCAAAATAGAATAGCACAGTGAATCTAAAATTTAACAGAATATTAAGTATTGTGTAATTATGTATTAATATTGCAATGGAATAATGAGTTGTATACAACCATGTTAAAGTTAGGTTTGTTCAGTGACTCTCCAGCGACATTTGCATGTGTATGGAATACGACCATTAATTTTTTCTTAATTTTCTGTGCACAGTTCCTTTTTTTAAGTATGATTTCTCCTACACACAAGTCACGTGATTTTTCGAGGTTTTACCCTATTTACGTATAACAACGTTAAATACTTAAATCTTCAAAATATAACTTATTACGGTTACCAGAAAATAAGCAAATAATATGTTTTTTTTTTAAACAAAACGATATTTTACGAAGTCATATCTTCACTGACCTACAACAAAAGCAGCAACCACACATCCTACAATGCCTCCAACGCCCAAAGACTCGTGGCTCGACATTGTGACGAAGGAGGCCATCTCCACATTCTGGCTGTAAGCAGGCATCGCGTATAACTCTGTAACAGAAGAAGAAACTTATTTTCATGTGTTCTATTTTTGGTTTTAGTCTCTGTCACTAGATGGCGTTATCCTAAAACTTTATATTAATTCAGGCTCTGCGACTCGAACGAAGGAAATACAATAAAATAAATATTCAATAGTGGTAAACACAGAAGAAATTACATGTATGTTTTCCATAACCTCTTTGAGGAATTGACAGACATGCAAAGGTGCAATTCCGTGGCGCAGTATAAGTATTCATTGTAAATGCGATGGCATTTATTTAATTCTTTATTATCGGTTCTAAGCAAGGCGGGAAATGCATAGAAAACGATTAATTCTGCGTTTACGAATGTGTGTTTTTGCTAAGTTTCTTAAAAATGTCTGCATGGATCGAATGAAAACAGAGAAGTCTATATTACCTTAGTGGACACATTGTCATCTACAAGGTATAATAAACGATATTACCGATCTAGATACTAATATGACTTAAATGTGACCGAAAACTTATTATATCGAGCTCCTCCGTGCTTCGGAAGGCACGTTAAGTCGTTGGTCCCAGCTGCATCTGCAGTCGTAAGCACCCACCAATGCGCACTGGGCCATCCATAAGGAAGGCCAGTGCCCTAGCATTGGGGACATTGAATATATAGGCTGGTAATGATGATTTAAGTGATATCGACAGAGGAAAGGCATAATCGCTTATACGCCACTTTGGTCGAAAATCAATAATATACATATATCATTTTAATCAGATTTTTTTTCTGCGTCGATCTGTTTGTTTTGTGAACATTTGAGTACTTTTTTGGCGCTTCACAACGCTTAAGCACCATAAATTTTGGTGTTTTATGAACCAATGGCGCTTATGATTTGATGTTTGCTAGACAAAAAATGTATGGCGGGCCGAATGATTTTTACTAAAGCGACAACTAATTCGTAAAGACACTATATAACTTTTAACAGGAGAATATTTAGTAAATATTATTATACGAATATGTTTTTATTTTTAAGGAGCTACTTCTCATTAACAATGAGCTATAACTTTTTTTTTGTGGAAAAGAAACTTTTATCTTGTCGATATTATATACAAAACATAATTACCATTATCGAGTTCTGCGTCGTCTGTGGCACACAGCGACACTTGCAGCTGCGGTCCCACGCAAGCACCGAACTGACACCCTCTTCTACGAACCCGCTCGCCGTTCTCACAGTCTGACCACGGTCCCCACTGGCCCCAACCTACGTCCGACTCTGTTGAAAGCATAAGAACTTGAGAATATTATTTTGTTGTTATATATTAAGGTAGAAATTAAGTAAACGTTCCGACTAATGTTAAGTGTTCATTAGATGTGCGCATATTTCACATTCGATTCCAACCACATTTTCTCTGTTCTGTGATGTCAAGAAACTGAGGTGTAAGGCATTACTTTAGTGGGTTGGACATAAGGAAACGAAGGGGTAGGAGCTCAATCCACGTAATCGTATTTGAGACAACAAACTGAAAATCATCATCTGTATAAAATATCGTTATCGTTTAGAGTGAATTTCAAATACATAGATTATAATATACCAGGATGGCCAAACACAATGACGTGCTTGACATGTAAGTCAAGATTTACTTTGTGAGGCTACGATCTTGACTTAATTAATTCAATTTTATTCCTAAATTCAATACGGCTCGAAGGACCAATAATATGACACCATCCACCACTGCAACTGTTGACACACACTCGCCTCTCCATTGCGGCACCCGCGTCGCAGACACTTGCGCGTACGGGTCTGATGCCCGGGTGGGCCGCCCTCCCCGCACCCCCCGGTACACTCGCTCTAACAAGACCATTCGCACGGTAATATTATCTATACAGTATTCTATCTTCATACAAACGGTCAGAAAGCGTGTCATACCTACGCCACTCGAGTTCACGCGGCACCCGGTGGGCATCCAGTCGCGAATGCGCCGCAGCGACGACCGAACGGTGTGAATTGTTTTTTAAGCAGTTAGCCGTGCTTAAACTTTTGTATTGTGAATATTTGATTGAATTATGTAGATACCTACATAATTTAATATGGCAAAGAGCAATAGTCGATATTGTACTGTTTTTGGTTGCTTGAACTCTTCAATAATTAAACTTTTTATACGAATGCGTATTTATTATACTATTAAATTTAATAATAAAGCTTTTCGAACGTCTCAGTCGGGCCGTAAATATTTTTCTGTCTCAAATCTATATTTTTTTTATTAAATATGAAATAAAATATTTACAATCACAAAACTAGAAAGAAACTCAATTATGTAAATTAAATTAAAATACTGTAGGCGGGCAGCCCTCCTGCATGAATACGCCCTGCTCAGTCGTAGGCAGTTATTTCAAGGACAGGGCCGAGTCACAATACTGTATAGATAATAATTACCGTGCCATTCGCCTGCAACGAAATAATATGACACAATGACACCACTCACCGGTGCAACTGTTGACGCACACTCGCCTCTCCATGGCGGCGCCCGCGTCGCAGCCCTCCGGCGAGAGACACTTGCGCGTGCGGGTCCGATGCCCGGTGGGGCCGCCCTCCCCGCAGCCTCCGGTACACTCGCCCCACTCGCTCCAGCATGACCATTCGCCTGTAAGAAAACTCGTAATTTTTATTATGACCGGATAAATGGGAGTCTTATGCGAAGTTTCAGGTTGAGGGTATTTTAGCAAATAACATTATTTTTAGGATACAGCACGCCGCACTAACAGCAAAACGTCGAGCGATGCAACCGACGCAACCCCCACAGCCACAGCACCCAATTTGGAAGCCGTAACAGCCGGAGGGCTGACCAAACCACCATCCCTAGAAGACGCCCTATATAAGATGCTCCAATTTTCGGACCTGTTCGCGGACTTTATCAAAAAGTTCGGGCAGGACGAAAAACGAAGAAAACAAACTACCCACGTTCAAGATTCTATCCGCTCGCGTTAAGTCCGTCGCCCGCTTGCAGGTCGCTCACTGGGCCTCGGATCATGGGTCTCACCCGGTGAGCTTGACCGCGGCGAGGGCGGCGAGGGCGACGCGTGAAAACGTAGAGGTGGTATGATGTATCACGATTGAAGACCTGTGCCCCTGCTGTGGGGACATCAATGGGCTGACGATGATGAGTACAGCTGCAGTGACGTCACCTTCACACGCGTGCGTGTTGCAGGCACGCAGACCGCGCTCTGAGCCGGCGCAGGGCGGACGGCGACAGCGGCGCTTCCACCAACAATCTTCTATCTCGAGTTTCTCCGTGCTCCGGAAGGCACGTTAAGCCGTTGGTCCCGGCTGCATCTGCAGTCGTTCGCACCCGCCAATCCGCACTGAGTCCACGTGGTGGATAATGACCCAATCCCCCTGTTCCATCCATAGGGAAGGTCTGTGCCCCCGCAGTGGGGACATCAATAGGCTAATGATGATGAGTCTCATTTCTTTGTCGCACTATCCGTAAATGGAATGCTCTGCCCGCTCACGTGTTCCCTCCCTCTTAAAACCTGGGATCCTTTAAAAGAGGCGTAAAGAAGCAACATGCAGGCTGGCAGGGTGAGAATGGCTTATGCGGCAGGTAGAACTGCTGTATCAGCTATCTGCGCGTCTGGACTTCATTCTCACTTAACATCAGGTGGGGTGAAGTCATTTGTCAGACCTATCTATAAAAAAAGAATACAGCTGCAGTGACGTCACCTTCACACGCGTGCGTGTTGCAGGCTCGCAGGCCGCGCTCGGGTCCGGCGCAGGGCGGGCGGTGACAGCGGCGGGCGCGCGCCTGCTGTCCCCCACCGCAGGGCGCCGAGCACGCACCCCACGCGCCCCATGTGTCCCACCCGCCCGCTTCTGTCTCCAGCGGTGTACTGCTACACCGACCGGATTTGCTGCAGTAGCGCTCCTCTTCGCGCGCCATCGATAGCTGTAACACAATAGTAATTTATGACATAAGTGCGGTAAGTTAGTTAAATAATTTAATAGCGGCCGCCCGCGACTTCGTACGCGTGTTATTTAGTAAGTTAGAAATAAAGGTTCAGTGCTCGTTCCCCGACTTCTTAATAATATTCGTGCCAAATTTGAAGTAAATCCATGCAGTACTTTTTGCGTTTATCTCGGACATACGTACAGACAAAAAGACATACAGACAAAAAATCTAAAAACTATGTGATCTACTATATCTATATCTTTGGCTTCGGTATGGATTGGAGATCACATCCCAAGTATTCTTTTAAAAAAAATATCAGTGTACAGTTTTGACTTTCCTACCATTTTATTATATGTATAGATTTGGTTAATTGGTTGGTTAAACGAATAGACGAATATAAGCCCGTGACAAAGTAGAGAGTTTACCGTAGTCACGAGATTGTAAATACCAATTCCGCACGAATATCATACATCGTTTTTCAACACATTTGTAAGAAAACAGTATAATTTTAATAATGAAGCAAAATTTTCTCTAACCAGAAAATGGCGCGCATTTCCACGTGGCGCCTCTAGTGGTTAAAATTAAAATTACATCTGTAGGCTCTTCTTCTTTTTTTAAGCATTGAAGTGAGACAAACGTATTAATCAAAAATGCTTTGAAGGAGGTTCGATCGAAATAAATCGTAAAGTATATACACGATGCCATGTACCGGAGAGTGCGGTAAAATTTTACCGGACGCTCTGTTGTTTGGTATCTATCTAATTTTTAACTTTCGATAAATGTGTACAACCTCCGTAAATGCATTTTTTAACCAAATGTGTTGAGTAATACTTAATGTTAAACTAGTGATTGCTTAATAGCCGAAACTCGACCTTTCCAGTTTTAATCTTGAACTCCCCCTTTTAATGTTTTGTCTCTGTTCATTAAATGACAAATTGCATTCGATTGAAATAAACAACACACAGCGCAACTAGTCTAGGCTTATTCCTCGCTTATTAATAAGGGGGGGGGGGGGTTATTCTATAGTCATTAGGTTCCTTTTCTGTGACAGAATGGATTATAGACAATTTCCTGTTAGCTCTCTAGCTAGCAGCCTTTATTCTTAGTCGCTAGAGTTCATAGCAAGAAAATTCACTTACTCTTAACTGCTCCGGAGACTGTGCTTTGCACAGGAATTTGAACCTTTTCTCCATATAGCTGCCGTCAGACGAATTATCTGTAAATAGGTTATACATAAGTGTTTGTTTAACGATGGCGTAAATGCCTATTCTACATATTTTTTAATTTTTACGTCTTGCAAAAACATCATAATAATTTCTTCTTCTACTTGTCTACTCTAACAGAGATATTAAATTCAAAATTATCAAGGTAACAATAATATACAGGGCGTCCCACGGGTACCTCACACGGAGGGAAAGTATATTAAATATTGAAGATAGGATATTTTACCGAAAGAAGACATCATTTTATTTTTAATTATAACTAGAACTGCATTCACAGATTTTTTTAAAATCGCCTGCTAAAACGGGGAATCAAACTCGTGAAATTTCGAAAAGAAAACACTACATGTTTTATGATAACCATCGAAAGAGTTAATCATTACAATTATTTTTTGCTAAATAACATATCATTTTAAATGAAATAAAAGTCATAAAATTACACATTTTATTAAAAATATTCAACAAAAAGTAATAAAAAACGAAAGGTATCAAATGTTCAAAATGCGATCAGATTTGTTGTATGCAAATTCTCACTCTATTAATGTTTTCTCTGCCTGTCGATTTCATTATCTTTGCGTGGTGAATGATCGTAATAATACGTCTGAGTTATTTTGTAACTCCTGCACACTGTCTTACCGGTTCTTGTATACTACATCTGTTACATAACCCCACAAAAAAGTCCTGTGGGGTTAGCTCTGGGGATCTCGCTGGCCATCTTATTTGTCCATAAGAACCGATCCAGGAAGGAAAGTGTTCATTAAGAAACTCGGCAGTTCTCCTACTGTTATGAGTCCCATTTTGCTGGAAAATGAGATTTCGTCGATTTGCAGCAGGAAGATTATTGATCTCACCTCTTAAAATATGAAGTATTTCTAGATTTCTTTCCGTATTTAGATTCCCTTTGTAAAAATGTATTAAGAACCTGGTTTTTAACTAAAATGAAAAACACAAAAAAAAGAACAGTACCCTTAGCACGAACCAATATCGAATTCGTTTAGTTTTAGAGTGCGAAATGTCATTGTCAAATGTGTACTGATTTTTAGTTCTCGTTACGTACTTTGTGGTGCTGCTGTATAAGTTTCCATACAAAATTTGACATTGACATTTCACACTCGCAAACTATTCAAATTCGTTAATGGTTCGTGCTAGAGGTACAGACGCTTGAAAATGTATGTGTTCTATTTTCGAATTATTATTTTTACAAATTTCCGCCAATCGCATTGTAACTGAGTTCAAAAAGAAATGCATACGTACTACAGTTTGTATATCACTTTATTCTTTTTATCACGTAATAAGACATTCTTTTCATTTAAAATGCTATGTTAATAAGTAAAATATAATCTTTATGATAAACCCTTTCAATGGTTATCATATATTATGTCGTATTTTTTTTCGAAATTTCACGAGTTTGCTTCCCAGTTGTAGCAGTCGATTTTTAAAAAAATCTGTGAATGCAGTTCTAGTTATTATCAAAAATGAAATGATGTCGTCTTTCAGTAAAATATCCTATCTTTAATATTTAATATACTTTCCCTCCGTGTGAGGTAGCCGTGGGACGCCCTGTATATATAATAATAATAAATAATAATAACTAACCAGGTATCTGCACCCAAGGCGTCCAAGCTGTAGCCTTTCTCAATTCGCACGGTCTTAAGTCACATATCTGTCGTTCAGTCTTGTTTCCCTCGCAGTCAGCACCGCCGTGTTTAGGCGAAGGCTCGGAACAATTCCTTCGTCGTTCCCTCCAGCCGGCTGCTTTGCCGCAGTCGTTACCTCCTGCGCTGGTGCAAGAAGACCAGGGGCCCCAGGAGGACCAACCACCGTCTACTGGGGCTAACGCTGGATCTGTAGAAATATAAATGAGCTAAGATAAATCCTGAGAATTTATGGAATGGAGTAATGAAAATTATGGATGTTATTTGTCAGATTAAAAATATTGGAAAAGTACTTCGGTATTAATAATATTGTGGTTCTCTTGAAATAAAAATTTCTCTATGACTTTACGCAAAACATTGTTTTCAAGGTATCGCGTACTCAAAGGTCATGGGTTCGAATCCCGATGCGGCAAATGTTTTTATGATGAATACGAGCATTCTTACCTAACACATGGCGAGATTCATATTTCTTACATATATCTAGAAAAAATAAACTTATTTTATTTCTGTTTATTACACAAGCCTTATAGTGCTTACTTTAGGATGGATAAAAAAGTAAAAAAAAAGATAGTTTTTACGAAAGTGTCCAAGATTATTTCGTCGACGACATTACCTGGACAAGGCGGTAGATTGGTACACATCACATCTTGCGAATCGAGTCCTACGCACACTCTGCCTCCGAACTTAGGCTCCGGGGCGCTACATGACCGTCTTCTAGACTTCACGGCGATTCCACAACTCGCTGAACATTCTGAATATCCCGACCACGGAGACCATCCGCCGTGGACCGTGCAGTTAGTTACTGCTATCTGGGGACCTGCGAGGTTAACATTGTTGTTGTAATTACACAATAAAATACTTTTAGAACGGATATAAGCATGGACGAAGGATTCACTACGCTTCTACATGGCCCATGGGTATAAATCGCGATTTATAAACTTCTTTCATTATTCTTGCCATTTGAAATCCTTACAAGGCTCCATGGGTGGTAACAAACCAATAAGTTTATGGGAAATCTTAGCCAAGTTGTTTTGTGTTTAAACCAAATATTATTAACAAAATTTGATCTCGCACTTATCAGAGCCCTATTTACACAAACACGACGAATATATCTTAGTATCAATAGAACTATATAATTTTAAATGTCTTCTTTCACATACCACAAACAGACAGTGTCAGGGTTGTAATTCTTTAAGAGCAAAAGTCACTAAGGCAGCTCTAATACTAAGCAGTCGATATTAGATACAATATTTTTCAATAATTTGTGGAGTAGGTATTTCTCGAAGACCAGAAATGAAACTATTAAACTGAGCCCTAACCACTAAATCTACCAAATGAACGATCATATTCTGAGATTCATCCTATACCTTGACAGTTCTGTCCACCGTTAGCCGGTCGGGGGTTGTCGCATCTCCTTGACCGGCACATACACATATCGGGCTTGTCGTCTCCGTACATTGTGTGCGAAGTGCCGTCCTGCATGCAAGGTGCCCACTCAGACCAAGAAGACCAGCCGCCGTCAACTGTTCACATTCATATTCATGATGAGTTAAAGTATCCTTAAGAAAGTTTAGCGTAAATAAAGAGAGCATCCGCCATCAACTGCCGTTATAATAGAGAAGCTTAATCTAGGATTTTGGAATTGACTCGAGTGCGGCAGAATAACATAAGGGGTAACTTTGTACCTTGTCAAGTACTCGCACCATACCTAAACCCTTTATGTAGGGCCGAACGTCAATGGCAGCAAAATTTTATTTTTAAACAATAGGCCATAATTGTAAGTCCTGTCCAAATCGTTAGTCTTTTGAATAGGAGCTACCGGAGGGATCACGTAACGTTTTTGATGACGGAAAAAATATTAATCTGCCGGTTTGCATAGTGTGGGCGAGGCCGTGCGAAGGGGTAAAATATAGGAAAAATATATATTAGAGCGCGTCCAACATTTAGAGATGACGTTACGTGGATCCTCCAGTAGCTCCTAAGCAAAAGATTCACGATTTAGAGGCGACAAAAAATAATGGGCGTTTGTTGAAAAAAAAATTGTTGCTATTATAAAGAAAAGGCAATCAAATAAAACAATGATTTATCAATAATTCTTCTAAGGTATAGAGGCCAAGGCTCATGCCGGTATTGCTATTTTAACTATCCCATGAAACCCTCATCCCTAACCTGGTATATCGACGGACGGGCAGCTGCCAGTGGCCTGTATGAAGTCAGCTTCGTGCGAGTGATCCTTTGATCCGACGCACTCTTCACGCCCGTTGTCCCAGCCGCAGTGCGGGTCTGTTGCGCCCACGCATCCAGAACGACTCTTGTATCTAGAACAACGTTCTCCGCTTATACGGAGCACACCTTTGTCGCTGCCGATGTAAATCGACATCTGAAATAAAGTTTAAAAAAAAAAAGTCAAGTTGAGAAATCGTAGATATTATAAAGTTATTCTGACAAAAGTTTTTTTACAAGATTACAAAATAAAGAGATTTTCAGAACGAGAAGATCAACTATCTATGATGCAGCCAAGAATAACGACTCAACGTGGCTTTCAAATAAAACGAAGAGTATAAATTACCGATCACACATCCGTTAAGTGGCCACAGCGAAAGTTGCTTAACCTCTACAATCCCAGAAATGAATCAAAATATTACATAGTATGGAAATTTCATGTCAATTACTCACAGTCTCCTTGACAAACTGCATGCTCTGTACATCAAAGCCTTCCTTGCCCCCCAGTTTCCACACTTCCACCAGACAGGCACCGACGAACTGCGGCAGTACAGCTAGCTTGATGACGTCACCAGCTTGCGTGGCTACGTATAAAACGAACTGCTTTCCGACCCCCTTAGCGGTCGTGACATCAACGGTGATGTGCGTAAAGCGCTGTGACGTCATTTTGTATACGGGCTCCCCTAATATAGGCTGGATGGGTTCGTTCATGAGCTTGTACCGTTGTAATTCTATCGCTTGATGGGGTCTGGAATGTAAAAAAAATATTCTGTGAATGACTTCGTTCTATCAATGTTAAGTGGCATTCCTAACTAACATTATAAATTAGAGAGTGAGTTTGTTTGGATAAAATTTGGTACGCTTAAAGTTTAAGACCTGGATTAATACTTTTTATCCCGGAAAAATGAAAGGTTCCTATAGCCTTCTCAAAAACTAAAGTTAACGCGGACGAAGTCGCGGGCGGCCTCTAGTGAGTATAAAGTATGATATTTACGGATCGCCAGATGCTATAACTTAGTAGAACAGTGGTTGGAGGTATTATCAAAGAAGCTCAGTTTGGTTGTGGGTTCGACGAAAAGGAAATGACAGAATAAAAATTATTTATATCAGCAGTACATTTATTACTATATAATACGTTACGCACCAATTCATTTTATAAAATTGGGCTATCAAATTAAAATATGAACACCATCTCTTGATCCACCTTCAAAACCTCACGTAACCAAAACAACCAGAAAGTTCCGAAACCCCAATACCTTATCAATATTCGAATGACCTTTACAATAGGTTTTAGTTTTGCGGATGTGGACTACATGATAACATAATGAAGGACGCGATAAAACTGATTATCGTACACAATCATTGTTATTGAGTGAGTACTGCTACAAATAACAAAAAATACGATAACTATCAGTAAGTAATATAAATTAACACTAGCGCAAGGTCGAAATGAGGAGCAAATACTCAATAGTTCAACCACAAACATGATTTCCTTGATGTAAATAAGTTTACTAACTTAATAAAATTCTCGTGTCACAATGTTAGTTACCATACTCCTCCGAAACGGCCTGACCGATTTTGACGTGACAACGTCTTAAATTAGGTTGCGGCTGGGAGTCACTTATGAAAAAGTGTAACGCTCGGTAACGTTACGATGAGTTTAAGTTTACATGTACAATGTTTTAGTAAACAAAATATATTTCTATAGTTAAAATTTGTGCAATTCTTATTTTCATTCAATTCCTTGTTCCTATTGTGCAATTTAATTATATTCATATCAATAAATATTCTACCGAGAAAAAGACGTTGTCACGTAAAATCTTCGCCCGTAAAACCGACTTTACAGGCAACCATTTTTTTATGAAATTTTATATGCATATTCCGCGGGTCTGAGAACCGGCTACTATCTATTTTCCATATACTTAAGTGATAATGGTTGTCCACCTGTAACGTAGTGTTCTGAAACCTACAATGCACCTTCCCGCCTAAATTCAAACTATTGGGCATTGTAACGTAGTGTTCTGATATGGGTTAGGAGGAATGTTATCCCAAGAAATTGATAGAACACTACGTTACAGGCCCCTAAATTATTTTTTGGACAATATTTTTTTTTTTATAATGTGGTATTAAAAAATACATAAACCTTAAATCTCTTCTACCACCTACCCCTATTTTTATGGCGGTACGAAGTTCGCTGGGTCAGCTAGTAATTTATATATAAGTGGTAATGACGTTAAATTTTTATAAAGTCAGATAAAATAAAAAAACAAGAGGCAGATTAAACCAGACTTTATTCGCGACTAGCAACATGAGTTGTTAACATCAATAGCGGTATATTTAGGCAATTATTTTTGCCTTACTAAGGTTTCTGATCATTCAATTGGGTAATTTATATTGATAATTCTATGAATTCCCATCATTAAGCTATGTAACCTTTATTTTTGTTTAATTTTGCTCTCAAATCGTTTGTAATGGACTCTAATAAAAAAGGAATAGAAATAGAATAGAAATAAATTTATTAGTTTTAAACATAGTCATGTTAACATAAATAAAACAAGACCAAATAGGCCAATTAGGTCCCTGCCTCAGCTTAATACGACAGCAACACCAGGGCTGCTACAGCGCTGATGTTGCTGTAGTATTAATCTTCAGCAGAAAATTGCTGCGTGAAAATTTGATTCACGCCAATTTACCTGAGGTCAGGCACACATCGAAAGTGGTCCCTCGCTTGGACAGTGGGAGACCGCGGCTCCCAGGTGGACAGTGGGGAGTCTTTCACCTTGTACGGCCCGTCAAAAGCTGCGTGGATATCCGTCATGTTGTACATGCACACGGCACTGCCCTCGATGCTGTTACTGTGAACGGAAAGAGAATTGTTAATACCTTAATTTATGAGTATAATATAAGTGGAAATTAATTCAAAAGGATTTATTACAATTGAATGCGTATATTTTTCTTAAACGTGCAGACATACAAGTCCACAGACCAACGGACAGCAGTACTAATACTTTTTTAACTACATTTTTTTGTTATATATACTAAAAAAATTAATGAAAAAATACGCTGACTTTTTAATTTAATATGTCTAGATTTTTTATTGATTTAGTTTCTAACTTCGGAGATAAGAGCGGTTTTATATTGTAAAACCGTCACATAGCGGCCTATCGAGAGTAAAGCACTCTCACACGCTTACGCGTTGTGAGTGCAAAAAAAAGTTTCAAATCATATTTTCTCTGGTTCGGCTTATTGAGAGTTGAAACATATTAAACTCTTACATGTGGAGCTCGATGGCGCAAGTGGTTAGCGCGTTCGGTTGCGATCGTTGAAGTTAAGCAACTTTTGCAGTGACGGTCATTGGATGGGTGACCAAAAATTTACTACCTCCGTGCTTCGGAAGGCAAGTTAAGCTGTTGGTCCCGGCTGCATCTTAAGTCGTTAACGCCTAGCAATCCCCACTGGGCCCGCGTGGTGGGTCATGGCTCAATCTGGATCAATGGATGGAATAGGGCGTCCATAAGGAAGGCCTGTGCCCCAGCAGTGGGGACATTAATAGGCTGATGACGATGATGAAACTCTTACATGTACCTTGAACAGCCTTAATATTTTCTTTGACATTATCTGCTCCTCTAGCATGACCACCGAAACAGGATATGATAAAGCGATATATCGGCATTAACTGTCAGACTACTATGGAGTTTGACAGTAGTCTGACAGTTAATGTCGATATATCGCTTTATCATATCCCGTTTCGGTGGTCATGCTAGAGGGGCTGGTTTGATTGCATAACATACCATGTTAAAATATAAATATTATCTGAAGATTCATTTTAACAACGTTTCTATTAGCTTCATCTGTATAACTTTGTAAAAAGTGTATTGGTATGTATCGGAATCTAAAAAAATACGATTTTATATACTTTACAAATACCTGGATTGAAACTTTATATACATATAGATCTAGAATTGATAATATTTTATAACTAAGTAAAGGAATCAAATGCTACAAAGTAGCAAAAAGTACAAAGAATACTATTATTATATTAAAAATTATTTATTACTAGTGGCCCGCCCTCGCCTCGCTTCGATCGGTGTAGAGCTGTAGTGTAAACTATAGTTTTTGTTCTCAGGCTTGTGTTATAAACAATAACTTTATTTATATAATTACACGTGTTATTGTGAGTCAACCATAAAAGATAGACATATGCTGTTGCGGAATATTTTTTAGACAATTTTATGTAGAATATTTCCATCATACATGATTTCTATGTAACTTTAACCATTAAAGCTGCACACGCGAGGGAAGCTTAAAAAATGGAGCAACTTCTCCCGTTTTTCCAATATTTCCCTTCACTACTCTGTTCCTATTGATTGTAGCGTGATGAAAATTATACTATAACCTGCCCAGGAGTATGAAGAATAATTGTACCAAGTTTCGTTAAAATCTGTCGAGTAGTTTTTGTTTCTATAAGGAACATACACACAGACAGACAGACAAAAATTTTACTGATTGCATTTTTGGCATCAGTATCGATCACTAATCATCCCCTGATAGTTATTTTGAAAATATATTTCATGTACAGAATTGACCTCTCTACAGATTTATTATAAGTATAGATTATAATGATGATAACACGACATTTTAAATTAAAAACAAATTAAAAGAACAGCTTTTTAACGAAGTCATTATATCAGTCTTATAAACAGACAATATAGTCGTTTATCTTGAAGCGAAGGCTCTTATCTACACTCGTGGTGAGGGACTTATTTATCTGCGATATGGCCATTATCCATTGGTAAACAAGTCACATGGCTATGCCAGACAGCTTGGCAGCGAAATTCATGCATTTGTGTAACGGATATTGATAAAACCAAAAATCTACAAAATATTGATCAGTAACTATAAAAATCTCCAAAAAAAATCTAGTTTGCAGCGAACTAAATCGAAATAGGCAATGACCATTATATTTAAGTTCCATTTGTTGTAGGTTCAACATTACATTACCTACACTTTTTAGGTAACTAGAATATCTTGATGGAGGCCACTTGCATAAAGATCTACTTAACCGCTTTCAAAAAGTGGAGTGTTTGCCAATTAGCTGTGTACTAAGTTCTCGACCGCCGCCACTCAATATAGAATAAACAGTATAGTCAAAGTTGTCCGTCACTTTTATGTCGTAAAAACTGTTCTCGTTATCAATAGTATTTAAAGTTTTCTTTCGTGGTTTCTCTAAGTACCTACTACCTACTTGTTTAACTCCTACCTAGTGAAGAAGCTACAAAGTTGTTTTAGACAACCAATTAAAAAAAGGAAATTTATTTCATTATAATGTTTTAGTCATAAAGTTTAAAAATTTGTAAAGGTTATCCCAAGATTAACTAACACTAAAATATTAGATAACTCATTTATTTTTATACATACCTAATACCTATGTATCCACAGAACACAGAAAGAGGTTAGAACAGCCTTGTGGGCGGGGCAGGCGCGCCACAGTTATGTGTGAGCAAATGCTCATAACTTTACCTAAACTTGGTTCTGATTGCGTCTTTGCTCTCGGGTGTGAGCGCTGATTGGTTCGATTGTTTGAAGTCGCGTCGTTTGATTGGCTATTATCTATTAGGTGGAAGTGTAATGGGGGCGAGGCGGCGACACCGGTTCCCGCACAAACGTCAAACCATCACCCTTTTAACCTTTTTCTCTGTTCTATGTATGTATCTATCATTATCTACATATATATATGTATCGCAGCCATTAGGTTAAACTATCCAGCCAATACCTACACCTAGGCCGTTCATTTAACGTTAACAATACCATTTAGAATTTCATTACCAACATAGCAACTTCTTACCAATAATAATATTGCACACTTTCATGAGCACTAACATTACAGTAATTTATGATTTACCTTGTATTTTGCAAATCTCCGATATTTCGGCACTATCACAAGTGCCTTGATCAGTGAATAACGTGAGTTCTTACGAATAAACTATTATAATAATAATAATAATCTTTATTTCCACAATCTACAAATCCCATGACAACTTATTATACTATAATTTTTATTTAAGAACAGTAAACTAGATTGTGAGAGACTGGTGCCTGAAATAGGCAGAACGCCTGTATCTCAGAGCACCAGGACTCTCCCTCCCTGGAGAATACACATTGAGCAAATTATAAGGTTTGATCATTGATCTTACATATTAAACTGTAGGTATAGGTAGAAAAGAAAAACATCTTATTACAAAAGTGACACGACTATGCTTAAAATAAGAATAAGTACCTACAAGCTTTGATTAAAATCAAAGCCTACAAGCAACAACTTGCCTATATGTTTTAACTATTAAGACCAACCTGGGTGTAGTAAATGTAGCAACGAGGATCTTCTCTTGTGGCAGGTACTCCACGCTTTGCACTTCATCGTAATGGAAGGGCACATCGCCTGGCACGAGGCAGTTGAGACGAGCCTTCAGGTATGTGCTCCATTTATCCTTCATCATGAGGTAGCCCCCGGGGTCGTTCTTGCAGACTCGCGCGATGCGGGAGTAAATGATCTACGAGAGATATTATATGCTGTTTTTTATATTTTTACTAGCTGACCCAGCGAACTTCGTACCGCCATAAAAATAGGGGTAGGTAGTAGAAGAGAAAATTTAGGGTTGTATGTATTTTTCAATACCACATTATAAAAAAATAAATATAGTCCAAAAAAAATTTTAGTGGTGTGTAACGTAGTGTTCTATCAATTTACTGGGATAAGATTCCTCCAAACCCATATGAGAACACTACGTTACAATACCCAATAGTTTGAATTTAGGCGCGAAGGCGAATTGTAGGTTTCAGAACACAACGTTACAGGTGGACAACCATTATCACTTTTTTTCTTAAGGATATGAAAAATAGATAGTAGCCGGTTCTTAGACCCACGGAATATGAATATAAAATTTCATAAAAAATGGTCAGGCCGTTTCGGAGGAGTATGGTAACTAACATTGAGACACGAGAATTTTATTAAGATTTCTTAAGCAATTAACGGCTGGGTGTTTAAATCTAAGAAAAAGGAAAACATCCACTCTATTCAGGCAGCAAATTGGGACATTTAATGGCCGTGTCGTAATTCTTCTAGTATTTTTAGGCTGCATGGCAAATGCAAGGTCTAGGTAAATTCGTGTCTACGTTATACGGAGCATACTGAAAGTTTCTGAATCTGTTCACTTACTAAAAAGAAGTTAAAAAAAATTTGGATATTTGAAAAGGGAACTCGGGATCATATTACTTTTTAGTTTGCGAGACTGTCGTTTCTTTTTTCATTGTGGCTACCTTTTGATAGTTGTATGACCCATAAAACCATCAAAATTAACTTAACTCGTGAAGATTTTCATTCAAAGATTTTTTTTTTATAATTTTCCCTGTGGCTTAAGTCAATAATTGAATTGTCAGATTATACGAGGCGCAACAAATTACCCTCCCCCACCTTATGTTAAGTGTAAGTGGAGTTCTGTCGGTGAAGTGAAGGTCGGCCGGCGACAGGATCTACATAATATTACGTAACGTCGTATAAAGCATTAATTTTATTTTATTTCTGAGTAAGACTGTTAAATTTGATTGGCAAGACATAACAAGATTTTATGTGGTTTCACCAAAACTAGGACAACTAACCTTGCCACAGTTCATGAATTGGACAGACGACAAATATGATGTAGACGAAATAATCGTCCTCAAAGTTGTCCACGAACTACGGCTCGTTCAGCCAGTTAAGGTCGAGCTGAGGCGTTTTAAATTTTATAGGCAAGATATATTAGAGTTTCACGTGGTTTCACCAAAACTACCATCCTTGCCACAATTCATGAACTCGACAGCGATCTCCCTGAAGACGAAGTATACGTAGTAGTCGTCCTCGAAGCTGCCCACGAACTGGGGCACGTTCAGCCAGTTCAGGTCATACTAAGGCGTGTTAAATTATATCGCCAAGATATAGTAGGGTTTCACGTGGTTTCACCAAAATACTAACCTTGCCACAATTCATGAACTCGACAGCGATCTCCCTGAAGACGAAGTATACGTAGTAGTCGTCCTCGAAGCTGCCCACGAACTGGGGCTCATTCAGCCAGTTCAAGTCGTACTGAGGCGTCCGGAGGGTCTCCACCATGCGAGGCGCTGCACCGCTACTCCTGTGAACAAAAGAAATATTTACATATTTAATGTACTAAAAATCATAAGATTCGGCATATTATCACTTGCACCATAGTTAAAAGATAATCATGTTCTAGCCTCACATGGTCATTAACATTATACTTAATATGCGCTACATGGGTTTAGGGTTGCCGCACACGGGCCACACGCGACAGCCATAAACGTCGCCACGAGAAGCTAGAAGTGGCTACAAAGGTAGCTGAAGCGCGCGAGAGCCACTTGCGGCCGGTGGTCGACACTTGCCGTTGGTGGCTGCTACTTTTTTTAACCGATACGATCCAAAAACCTTCAAAAAAAGAGCGTACTCCTTCCTTAAAGGCCGGCATCGCATTTGTGATACTCCTGGTGTTGCAAGTGTCCATGGGCGACGGTGATCACTTACCATCAGGTGAGCCGTCTGCTCGTATGCCCCCTATAACATAAAAAAAAAGAACATGCGTGCAGTATCATAATGGACTCTGACGAAGAAGGTTTGAAGGTGGGGAATGGCGAGTGGCGTGTGGCGTTTTGTATCGGTGCATTAGTGGCCGGTGCGGGCCACAAGAAGCGAGCAACGACGATTTGTAGCGTGTGGCGGCCACCGGCGTTTACCGTGTGCGGCGAGTCCATATAAAATGTATGAAAACTACAGAAAATATGCCTGTGGCGGCGTTTTGGGGTGCGGCGACATTTATGACGCATCTAAGAACCAGAAGTTATTCTGCTGATCTATCTCACCTGCAAATCGTAGTGTCGGAGCTGGTGAAGTCAGTTGGTGTTCCTGCGTAGTATTCGCCGCTGGCAGTCAATATAGCCGTGACGTTGGAGTGAGGGTTGTAGGGGCAGTGGGCCACGCCATTAGTCCACTCCGTCACTTTGTTCACCGACTCGATCTGGTAGAAAATATTAAGGAACGATTAAGTAAAGAAGAAATGTAAACCAAAAAATTATTAAAACTAAAGAGGCTTTTACTACTGTAACTTATATGTCGATGGTAAGTTTTAGGAATAGAAAAGTTAACATCGTAGAATTCAAGCTATTTATTCACGCCTAATGGAGTTAATTGATTAGAATCCTGTAAATTCAAATGAAACTCTAAATCACCACAAATTCTATCAAATACGAAATGTAATACATATTTCATAGAATTAACATCAAACCCCAATTAATAAATTTTCGCAAAGTAAGTTCTTAAAAAACTCCCAATTGTTTTACATTTGCATTATTTGTATTTTATTTCCTACTTTCTATACTAAATAGTAATCTGTAGACAATGTTACTGGTTGTATAATCTTATGTTTGCAGAGTTTCTTGGCGATTCTTGTCAGTGCAAGGTCTCCCGGCGATGCATCGATGCCGTAGCTTTTCAACTTTCACAAGTGCTTGTGAACAGCTTAGACTGAATAAATGAGTTTGAGTTCATGTTTGCTATATACAAGATTGGCTATTATCACAATAAAGGCTTACTTGTGTAGAAAGTCGAGATAATTATTATTGTAAGTAGAAGGAAAAGAGACACCTCTTGAATAGTTTATGAATTAAAACTGTTCATATGCGATAGTGATGAAACCTACAAAAATGTGAACACGTAATAGTCCTTCATAACTAGGAACGTTTTAAAGACAACACATGTGTTAATATTCAACTCTCTGGGTTAAATTAAATATTCTAAACTTATATTTATAGTCTTTATTTTTTAAGCAAATAACTGCTAGATGTTTAAATCTAAAGAAAATTATACTAGAGAAAATTCCACGCGGACCAGGCAGCTGACACAAGACTTGCCACAGACCATGCCACAGGCGCAATATTAAATGTACCTTTCACGAGCAGTTCAAAAATAGCACTCAAACAACTTGCAAGGTTTAAAACAGAAAAAGAAACAGGAAAAACGGGATGTCCAATGTGCGATTTCCGCTGATTTCTATCGGTGGGCGCGAAATCACGTGCTCTGACTTTTATTACTATTTAACGAACCCAAACAAACGATAAAGACTTTTGTGTGCAAATTTTAAATCTTGTCATGGCCGATCAGCAAATATTGGTTGATTGTTGAAAAAACAGACATCTTGACTTTTATAAAACTCTAAAGTGGTCTGCTATGTTTGGATCCAATATTATTATTACTAAAGAACACATGGGACATTTCGTAATTGTTTATTGATTGTTGATCCACGGTTCAACTACAGATGTTAATCGATTGTACATTTTACAATAGAAATTGATTGTCAAGTGACATGAAAGCAAAAACTGTTTCAAACGTAAAAGAAATGTCCGACAGCATCTTGAAAATGTAAACTACGTAGCAAGTACGCTCGCGACACTTTGCAAGTTGTTATCGGACAGACTGTCGGACAGTTTCTTGGTGTTGGAAACTCGGTCTTAGACTTAGCATGGGCGCGGACTCCCAGGTTCCGGACTGATGATTCCTATTCCTATAATTGGTACAAAGTCTTCATTTTCTGATATCTAAATCACAGGTACTTTAGTTGATTCCGATATCATTAATTCGGGTATAGCTTCAAATGGTTGTGAAAATAATTCCCAAGGTAAAAAAAATCTATACGGGCGAAAATTTTCCCACAACTATAAAAAGTTTTACATGAATAGTAACGTCTATTTTAGTTGTTAGAGCTTCCATATACAAACCTGTAGCTCCTATACATTTCAACCGCAAAAGTAAATAAGGACCTTGAAAATCTCAACTGCATATTGGACTGGACGCGTCAGTTACGCAAGCAAAGATCCTATCCATCCGACAGCGGGACTTTATTGTGGTACTAGCTGTACCCGGCGGTGTTACCCGCGGTTTATTAGGGATATTTTCCCGCAGTTAAACGTATCCTATGTGTTAATCCAGGGTGTCAGCTAACTCCATACCAAATATTATTAAAATCGCCCCAGCCGTTTAGACGTGAAGAAGTAACAAACATACACACTCACAAACTTTCGCCTTTATAATATTAGTGTGATTGGCAGTAATTCTATGTCTGGCACTTGTCTTGGCACAGTGGAGCCTTATCAGCAGGTGGCTTCCATACATTGAAACCACTAAAGTAAATAAGAAACTTAATAATTACCTCTCTCCACCTGCACATTGAACTGGACGCGTTAGTTACGCAAGCGAAGATCCTATTCATACGACAGCGGGACTTTAATATAGTTAATTTCCCAGACATACATTCGATACATTTAAACAGCCAAAGTAATTAAGGAACATGAAACTGACCTCGCTAACTGCATACTGGGCTGAACGCGTTAGTCCCGCAAACGAAGACTCTCTGTCCATGAGACAGTAGGACTTTCATAATGCTGTGGCAGTCCTCCTTTGTCTGACCCTTGTCTTGGCACAGTTCGGCCTTGTCAGCGGGTGTCTCACATACAGTTAAATCAAAGTTTAAGGAATTGGAAACTGACCTCTCTCCAACTGCATACTGGGCTGAACGCGTTAGTCCCGCAAGCGAATACCCTGTGTCCATGCGACAGCAGGACTTTGATGTAGTTGTGGCAGTCCTCCTCAGTTTGGCCTTTGTCTTGGCACAGTTTGGCCTTGTCAGCGGGTGCCGGCCAGTCTGAGCGCTCATGCAAGCGGAGACTTCGGAGAGACAAACGGTACAGTGTATCTCTGAAACAATATCAACGAAACATGAATTATGTTTCGAACGAAAAATAACTTCGTTCGTTCGGTTTGATTTAAATTTACAATTTCGTGTATGATAAAAAAATTATAAGATATTAAGCTACCTATCATCATATCTATAGACCTACTCAGTTCCGACATCGGCTATAACTAAAATATTATCAGACATATAAATAAATATGGATAATTGAATGACGCAACTTGATATGATAGCTTAAAGTCTAAATGCAAAGGCTGGTCCTTGGAAGTTGAGCCTGGTGATTGAGTGGTGACCCATAAATTTTTTCAAGTGTGTTTTAGTATCAGAACCCTTAAGAAGCTATGAGCCGGCCACGTCAAATATTCCATGCTGGGTTCGCTTGGTGTTTGGGTAAAGGGTCTACGGTCTACCCAATGGTGGTGTTTTAGTAAATTATAGTTACTAAAACACCACCCAGACTCGAGACAATACAAACAAGTTGATTATCCATATACGCTGTAGATTTTACAGTCTCCCCTATTGGAAATCAAACCTAGCAAGCACATCAGCTTTAAAGTCGAGGCCAATGGAGGCATGCGCGCCTCTTGGATACGAAGGTCGTCATACCTATGAGTAGGATAGATAGATAGATATACTCTTTATTATTCACACATACACAATTAAAGGGCTAACAAAATAGATAGTGAACTATGGTGGGTAAGGGCGGTCTTATCGCAGGAAGCGATCTCTTCCAGACAACCTTTAAGTCAAAGGACACTTTAACAGAGCTAGAGGAGTACTGTGCCAGCAAAATATAAAACAAATTGTATATAAATAAATATTATGTCGGAATTCGTGAAACTCAATACCACGATAGTAGCTTAGCCGAGTAGGAACTGTGTGTTCTACAATATCATTTTACATGTAATAACACGGTAAGTGAAGGCACAGCCACGCTTTATGTTGCATGTTTGTCCTACACATGGCAAACGGACAGACATTTGATACTGGCAATAATCATATTCCGTAACACATTACAAACACAATTATTCGTTGTATCTAAATATTTATCTCAACAGACTCAATTTCCATGCTAGTTATGTTACCTACCTATTATATGTACATATATTATGTTTTAAATTTACGCTTGTCTGAGAAGGTCTACCCAAATGTAAATTTTTTCGCTTTTGATATCGTCGTACTAATCAAAATGGCCGCTACCGGTACTGCCAAGTTCCTGTTCCGATTACCTATAAAACTAATTATGTATTCGTTTATTGGTATGTATTATTATCAAATTGACGTGTATCCGTTTTGTTCATTAATTTAATTATATGAAAAACATTATCAGATCATCTAAGCGATCCGTATCAGACATGGCTAGTCCACCATAAACATGTTTTGTGAGACAGAGTACAGATAAGTTGTTTCCTCCGCAGAACCAGATGTTGACAACTTTTTTTTTGTCCTGTGCTTGTTAAAGGGTTCTTTAAAATAACTGTACTTACTCAGCAGAGGAAACCAGGCGAGTTTTCATACTGAATGTCCAATCTTAGATAGCTTACAAATATTTATGTTTTTTTTAAAGACGTAACTGATTTCTATAATATTTTAGAATAAACATAAAAATGTCTCAATGCACTTGATATATTATATGACTGTTACATGCACTTGATATTTGACGTTTCATGGTTTTTTCATTGAATCCCGGTGGAGACAGATGTTTGTGTGATGCTTAATAAGTATTTCTATATAAATATACTTATACATGTACAGTATTTGTATTCTATGCGTTACCCTAATATACTATAACACAAACCTTACAGTGCCTACTTTGGGGCTAGGCTAATTGGTGTGAGTGTTGGAAATATTTATTTAGTGAAATTCTATTCCTAGTTTTACTTTTACTACTACTCATCAGTCTGCAGATAAGATAGCTGAGAAAAACTAAAAAATACGTGTAAATAACTAAGTTACAAGAAAGATTTAAAAAAATCAATTAACATTCGAGTATCACGCAATAATACCAAAAACACGGTCAATTTCAAAATGTTGTCAACCTCTGAACGGGACACGACAACCATTTGAGCAAACATTATGTTTTAATAGCTGGCCCAATGCTTCAGCGTATTGACATAAGACATAATATGCCAAACACTGTTACCAAAACGCTTTGATCTGACCGCCCTGTTTGCTCTATTGGGTAACTCTAATAGACGTAAGTAATGAGTGCTTTTAAAGCATCGTTTGAATTGATGGGAAGGCATAAACTATTTTTAATAAAGCCTTTTAAAGGTACGTGTTAATTGTATCTAAAGTTGATAACTTAAGGAAGATTATCAGACTGTTTAAGAATATTTGATTGACAAAACGGCGTGGTCGTGATTTCTCCTTTGCTTTGTTTTTGTAATTGTTTGTTGTGTCTTACAGGTAAATGACCTTAATTTAAGTAAATATGTTGTAGTTAGTATGGGTAGTTATGGGTAGTCATGCTCTCATAATAGTCTCTTCGGCTGTGTCGTGTGAGGCGGGTCGTTACGTTCCCTAAAATATGGTTGAGCGAAGCGATGGCTGGTTCATGCGTCATGCTCGTGAACGGGTGCTGCCAGCGGAGATGAGTCTGCCCTAACTTCCTTAATATTGAAGTTAATGTTTAGTCACACTGAATATAAATAACACTATTTGTATTTATACTGTATGACACAGCAATCAAAATGCAGGTAAACAATTAATGTATATTTAATAATTATGTAATGAAAAGTGACTTCATGAATCACCTCTGAAGTCATTTTTCAATTTGACGACTCTGTAAATAATGAAACAGGGAGAAAAAAACAGCCCTTGCTGAGTTTCTTGCCGGTTCTTCTCAGTACAAGCTTCTAGACATTCATGAGTGATTGTAACAGCCTAAACTGAATAAATGATTTTGATTGATTGATTGATTGATTGTAACGCTTTTCACGGTTCCAATATTATCAAGCATTGTCACAGACAGGTTTAAATATATTGAACAATTTTCTACTTTCTATACTGAAGACTGCTGTAAACGGTATTGAGTGGTGTTGCACTGATTTTTGTTAAAGTTTAAAATAATTTACAAAATTACGAAGGTATCAATGCCGAAGCTATAAAATAGGAGTTTACATATTACTATACACTACATTGCACAAGTTACAAAAATACTTAAATATATAAAATTCGGTCAATACCCAACAATTTATTAGACCCAAAGTAAACTAAGCTTGTACTATACAAATTTAATATTCACACTAATATTATAAAGGCGAAAGTTTGTGAGTGTGTATGTTTGTTACTTTTTCACGTCTAAACGGCTGGAGTGATTTTAATAAAATGTGGTAGGTAGTTAGCTGTCACCCTGGATTAACACATAGGCTACGTTTTATTGCGGGAAAATATCCCTAATTAACGGGCGGGTAACACCGCGGGGCACAGCTAGTACTTAATAAGTTGGAATAGTCAGCCACCTAATTTTTATTGGCCGTGATTAGGTATCGGATGATGATTGTATTTTTTTTTCATCAAAGTCCCATAAATTACTCCTAAATAAATACACAATATTTTATATTAAATCACATACTAGCTAGCACTTCATTTCAATAGCCAACCAAATGCTTATGTGCACTGAGAAACGCTTAGCAGAACAGTTAGAATTAAGGTAAACTTCAATACAACGAAACAAACAACTTTGAACCTTATACCGTACTACTACAGTGCAAAGGTTACTTTAACGTTGACTGTACAATACACATAGAACAGAGAAATGGTGTCATCCGTTTATTACTGAGTGTTTATGCTTTAAATTAATTGTTCCGTTTCCAGTTAAACGGAGCCGAGTTCGTTTACCTATGGTTGGGTGCGAAACGCTCAGACTTAGCCATTATTCATTGATATATAAATAAAATCACTAAAGAAGATCAAACAGAATCGAAAGTTCGCAGTAACAATACAAAAATAAAGTTAGGTGAACAGACTTTTTGTTAATGTAATTAACAAAGTTTAAGTAAGGTAGTGGCACCAGTTACCGACAATAACCAATGATGGTGTTACCATATTTAGTGATCTGCATAGATATTCTGTGTGCGAATGCATTATCATTTACGATCTCATTTATTCGGATTTCTGATAAATGTCAAATATGTAATACTAGTTGCTTCTACAGACATAGCAACATTTTGCCGTGTAATGGCGTAATGCATATCAAACTAATGTATAAAGTGGCAACTACCAAAATGGGTAGCGAGATTTACTTAATCAGATGAGATTACAGAATCGCCTGCCCTGATTACAGAAAAAATGGCGATCATTAATTCTGGTCAGTCGCAGGCGCTACTGCCTTTCTTCATCTGAAATACTCTATTGTACATTTCCTTGTTGTCGATGGAAGCATGTTCAGAAACTTGGGATATTCAGTGCCTCCGATATTTCATTGCCTTAGGGTGAGTTGTGTCCCATAAACATAACTACGGAGTATTTCACATTGAAGCCTAGAATGTGTTTAGTTATTTCTCGCTTTTCAGAACTACTGTGTCAGTCCCACTTTAGTCTGATTTTCACGTAAAATTTGTGCTTGGACTTAGACGTAGATGATACGGCAGAAGGTGTGCTGCTCCAGCCATCCTCACACTGCCGGCCTGAACCCAATCCCCTGCCCAGAGGAGCCCTAAAACCCTACTCACGAGCAGGAACACAACACTACCAAAAGGTAGTGTTATTTTACTGTGGTCTTCTATCATTATCATCATTTTAGCCGTACGACGCCAACTGCTGAGCATAGACCTCCCCCAAGGATCTCCACACCGATCTGTCCTGCGCCACTCGCATCCATCGGCTTCCCGCGACGTTCACAAGATCGTCGGTCCACCTTGTAGGGGCCTGGCACTGAGCGTCGTCCGGTGCGTGGTCGCCATTCCAGAACCTTTCCACCCCAACGGCCATCGGTTCTTCTTGCTACGTGTCCCGCCCACTGCCACTTCAGCAAACTTTCTTTCGAACGATATCGGATACTTTGGTTCCCCTACAGATCTCCTCATTTCTGATTCTATCGCGGTGGTCTTCTGTAAGATAGGGTTGCTTTCGCAGACTCAGGCGCTTCAATACGAGCTCTCAAAACGTCAATAGTTTCACATTAACATTAATTAGTAAACCGTTCACAGATTCATCATACTTACTATATACGATGACCGTAAAAACGACCTCGGTTGACAAAACACTAATCACACCAGGTCACACGCAGTTGCGTAACCAACGCCGCCCGATTTGAATGTCTGTTCTAAATATTTCAATAATCACCCATTAAAATGCATTAGAGATTATTAACACCGAATGCCGTTACAGACGGACCAGTTTACAAACAATGTTGTTTAGTGTGTACTTAGTATGTGACAGGGGTGTCAACACGTGGTTAATTGGTATGTGTTGTCAGTGGCTCGCTAGAGTAGATGACCTTCATCGAAGCTAGTCTTGTACAGTTAAAGACATGTCGGTGGTTACAATATGAAATTGATAGCACTTTTTCGGCAAAGTTTTAGTTGCAATTTTCGTAGTGCAAGAGTTCGGACGTTGATTCTAGCATGCTAAAGTAAAGGCTGATTTACGCCGAGGCAACAACATGCGTCAGTCTGTCATGCCATATTTTGGCGTTGGTTTGCTATTACATACAGCGTATGTAGCAAATAGAAAAATTCCCCATTTGGAACATTCAGCAGCAGATTTAAAGCCGACGCAACATCATTCTTAGTTTTCAAAGCATTGCGCTGTAAAGTATTAAATTATTGGTGTGGCATGCCACAATACCACAAAGTTTTGCCCCGGAGTAAATCAGACAGTTGAATCGTCTCTCAATAGTAAATTAATAGAATCGCTATTTGACTGTTCTTGTTTCTTAACCTTAATATAAAAATGCAAATAGATAACAATAAATAATGAGTAATCATTATGTATTTTGTGATTTAGTAAACATAACATCAGTTCATTGTCATGTCCATAACTTTACAATTCGTAATAAGATAAACTGATTCCTAGTCTTTGATTAAAAAACGAATTAATTTTACCAATTATCTGCTTACCATTTCTGACCAAAACTCGAGTGTTTAGCAATTCACTACAACTAGGAACAATGTCAAAAACAAAAATACAATTTTTAATTGACTTCAATGAATCTTCACAAGAGTGGGATGATACTAGAATCATATTTGGGTAATCTTAATTAACAGTTGAATATGCAAACGTCGATTGTAGGCGTAGAATTTTGTGCCAGTTTTGGCTTGTTTCCGGGCTAGGTAATGTTATAAATGCAAAAGCATGTCTGTCTGTCTGATTTTTATGAAACTCTGTTTAGAGATCGTTGGAGTCCCGGGTTTTATCCCAGAACTCATCCTTTAAGGGCATAAAAACGAGGTTGTAATTTAGTATGATAAACCATTTTTCGCACAGACGAAGTCGCTAACTAGTATAGAATACCCAAATACGAATAGATCGTATACTACCCCTGTTAAGACTAAAAAGTGTATTAAAAGCAACCCTAGTTATCTTATACGGCCCTGTTGACAAGCAGGTGAATGACTCAAGTTGTTTGAACAAGTTATTAGGCCGACTCGGGACGGGACGTGTCGTATGCACGGTTATCATCATTAAAATATTATTATGATAACGTTAAGTAAACTTTATGAGCGACGATTTATGCGACGCACGTGTTACATAGACTTTAATGTGACCGTTAAAAAACGCACATGTTGTTTTTGTGAAGGATGTTCCGTATACAGTTTACTCAGTTTCATGTTGTCGAAGCTTCCTACTTGCAAGCTTTCCATCAAAACATAAATAACATAATAACATTGACGACCTCCGTGGGCGAGTAGTTTGTACGCCGGGTTTCATGGTGTCGCCGACTTGAGAGGTCCCGGGTTCGAATCCCGGTGGGGGCAGATGTTTGTGTGATGAATACGAGCATTTGTACTCCAGTCATGTCATGTTTAATATGTATTTCTATATAAAATATACTTACATATGTACAATATATGTATTCTATCCGTTACTCTAGCATAGGGCTGCCATCCGTCCGGATTTCCCCGAATTTGTAATAGTTTACGGGGCGTCCGGGGAGCGTCCGGGCGTGGTTTTATTTGTAGTCCGGGTTTAAAAATTTACGGCAACGCATGAGCGGCCCTTGGTGCTGCAAGTGTCCATGGGCAGTAGTGACCACTTATTATGTGGTAGACCGCTAGCTCTTTTGCCTAGATCAACATAAAAAAGTTGATTTGTCACATTTTTAACTGTTTTTTTATTGGTCTGTCCGGGTTCTGGGCTTCAAAATCCGGGGTTATCACGCGTCTTATCCTGGTTGCCACATTTTAGAGATGGCAGCCCTACTCTAGCATCCCATAACACAAGCCTTACAGTGCTTACTTTTGGGGCTAGGCTAATTGGTGTGAGTGTTGGCAATATTTATTTATTTATTATTAAATTATATACACACGGTAAAGTTATAACAATATTTTTATGTTGACCAAAATTTACTGAACAATGAGATTTGAGTGCAAAGACGCATAAGAAAGCAGGAAATGTAAATGTTCAGAAAACTGCAACTTAAAACTAAAAATTGAAAAAAAAGTAGTTGTTCATATTACCCATTCATTTATGCATAAAGGCTTTTTTCCAAAAAAAGCCATCTTCCTTCTCTGATGTCTCTATCCAAAAAATCGAAAACTTTTTTAACCGACATAACATAATTTCATTAATATATTTGCTAAGTCAGCGATGACTTTGCGCTAACTTGGGTATGTCCCAGCAACACTTACAAAAAAACTGATATATTTTTTGTCATTTTTTGTTACCTTATTGGATTACTAACATAATTGAATGGTTATTACTAAGAACAAAGTTCGAATGTTCGTGATAGTGATAGGGAATTATTCATTTGAATATGTACCTTATAACGTCAAAGCAAGTATGGATTTTATCTGTAGTAAAGAAACAAGATCATTACTTTTATGAGACTACAAAAAGTGTAATTATTGCATCAATGTGCATATTAACCTACATATTTATTAAAAATACATATTATGTAACGTTTTCGTTGTTTGATATTAAAATATTTTGCGGACAACATCCGGTGCTTGATTTTTGCAGTTTACATAGGTATAATCTATACTAACATTATAAAAAGGAATGATTTGGTTATTTGTTTGTATTGAATAGGCTCCGAAACTACTGCCCCGATTTGAAAAAATCTTTAAAATTTAGAATCCTACATTATTCCTGATAAACATGGACTACAGGGTATTTTAAAAAAAAAATAGGGTTCCGTATGAAAATTTCGATTGTGTAGCCCAATGTGTGAAATACCAATAAATAACCTTATATCGCGTACGCTGTGGAAGACATCGGGAATAGAGCAAAGTGATGTTCTAAAGTTTTATAAGGGAAATCAATACATGTGAGTGAACTTAGCACATCATTTCCCAGCAGATCAAAATTAAATGTGAGTTTAGTTAATATGTAGATAAATATTTTTATCTTTATATGTCTTCGTTACCCAAGTATCCCATAACATAAGCCTTCAGTGCTTACTTTGGGACTAGGCTAATTGGTGTGAGTGTAAGAAATATATATTTATTTTATATTCAGCATTGCTACGAGTAGTTAGCATAGCGTTAGCACCACCAATCCGCACTGGGCCCGCGTAGTGGGTCATGGCCCAATCTTCCTATTCCGTCCATAAGGAAGGCCTGTGCCCCAGCACTGGGGACATTAATAGGCTCATGATGATGATGATGAACGAGTAGTTTGTGCTATTAAGAAAAAACCTTAATGTTACCGCAGTCCGTCACAATACTTTCCAAATCTTGTAAAATGGTGTTGTTTTTTTCTTATTTTCTATTATGTGTAACACATTATGTGAATGCTTGGCCACGATAAATTCACACCTACCAACATACATTTATTGGCGCAATATTATTGTGTAATAAATCTCATGGTTATAGGATTACACGCAAGTTTACGATACTGCCCGAGATATACATTACAGACACACATACGTAAGCACGCAAACGATACTGAATCAGCGCGTGGTCTGAGATATGATTGCAGATTTCAACCGCGACAGAGGATAATACTTATCATACGTGCATAAGTTTCGCCGCACACGGGCCACTTGCCACAGCCACAAACGCCGCCACGAGAAGCTAGAAGCGGCTACTAAAGTGGCTAAAGCGCACGACAGCGGCCGACTAAGGTAAGGGAGAGAGGGGTGGAGAATCGCGCGAGTGACGTGTGAAGGCGTTTTGTATCGGCGCATTAAGTGGCCAGTGCGGGCCACAAGAAGCGAGCAACGACGATTTATAGCGTGTGGCGGCCACCGGCGTACCGTATGTGGCGATTCCATAAAAAATGTTTGAAAACTGCAAGAAATATGCCGGTGGCGGCGTTTTGTGGTTGTGGTCGGTGGCCCGTGTGCGGCGACACTAAGTCTCACAACATCTGCAGAGACGCAAGACCACGAGAAAGATAATAAACTTCAGTGGTCATCAAAATAACCCTGTCTCATGATAGAATTATAACTCTATCATTTTATGCCTGTTTGTGAATGAAAACAAAGAAAAAAATATATAGATCACAGAAGCTTACCTAGCGCCGACGATGACTTGGTCCCTCGCTACGTCAAAGAGGAGTTGTGAGAAAGCACTGCTACTGTTGTCTTGGAAGATGTCACTGTTTGAAGTCAGCAGATCTAGGAACAATAAGAAATTAAAATATTACTACAGGATTACAGGGATAAAAACAAAGAAATCTCTAAAATAATAATATTTGTTTCTTAGGTTTTCACGCACATCACTCATTAAATAAAACTAGTTGTAACGGGTTAATAATGCACGAACTTTATTGATTTATTGACGTTTCGCAGCCTTTTCAGGTCTGCATCGTCAGAATAATGAATAATCATATTCCTGTAATCGTTGATTGTTATAAATGGATAGTTACAGTTGTATATAACTTGCTGCCGTTTTGGGCTAACTATGTAACACAGAAAGTGCACTATATGCAGGGCCGTGCCTGACGGGCGTTCATTGCGTGCACCGCACGCAGGCGGCCGAAATTAAGAGGCGGCCAAATCGTTACAAGTTGTTTACTGGGCAAAAATACAATCGGTTTGTTTTCATTATTCCTTGTTCTTTATGTTTGATAATTTTGTCTGTGATTATAAAACCAATACCATAATTTTTTTCATGTTATTATTTTTGTTTAAATTTTAAATAAAAAAAATGTTTATTTTGTGCATTTTTTTTTCTTAAATTTCATCCAAACATATAAATCTCATTAAACCGGTTTTTCTTTTCAGAAACCGGTTTTGGGAACAAAACCAATATTTTTTTTCGTTCTCGATTTCGGTTAACCAAAAACTGATTTTTTTCCCGGTTTGATGCCCTGTGTATAATAATAAACATTAAAAATTAAAGTAGTTTTTTTTAATGTTATCCTGGGGGCGGCCATACAGACTGGCACGCAGGCGGCCATATACCCAGGCACGGCCCTGACTATATGATATATAAAACAATGCTATTTGATACGGACAGCATCATTATTACGCTACTGTATCCACTATCATTCATCTCCACTTTGACTAGAGCTGCATGTTCTAAACGGTTTTCATAGATAAATGTCATCTCGAGTGAGACGCTATTTCTATTGTTTTGGTTTGTGATTACAAGAGGTAAGGCATAGTGGATATTTTTTGTAATGGGAACACACATCAGGGAAAGTCATTTTCATCATCATCATCAGCCTATTAATGTCCCCACTGCTGCGGCACAGGCCTTCCCTATGGATGGAATAGGGAGTTTTAATACAATAGAGTCAACTGCATCTTATAAAAGACTAGCGGCCCGCCCTCGCTTCGCTTCGGTGTAGAGCTGAAGTCTAGACTACATTTTTTGTTCTCAGGCTTGTATTATACACAATGACATTCATCAATGATTCTTCTTATACCTGCATGCAAAGGCTCAGCCCGATCGGTTTAAAATTGACAAAGTTTCATACAAACTTTCATTCCCTATTTTATTCCCTTGGGGGTAGAATTGATCAAAATCCTTTCTTAGCGGATGCCTACGTCATAACATCTACCTGCATGCCAAATTTCAGCCCGATCCGTCCAGTGGTTTGGGCTGTGCATTGATAGATCACTATATCAGTCAGTCAGTCTCCTTTGAGTTTTATATATATAGAAGATACGGTGATGTAACAATATTTTGTAGCGGTATTGCTATTGGTGAGTAAGGTTCTATTTTCAAGGATCCATTGAGACTTGCGTCTACTAGACGTAGAATTGGTTCATTCATTAGGCCTGCAAGGTGAGGATGATTAAAGCCCTACATTTGTTTGTTGCTTCAACTATCTTCGCTTCGTAACTAGACTTCACTTATACTGAACTTCAGATGATAGCAAAAATGGCGTAGAAAATAAAATTTTACTTTCTACACGGGAAAAATATCAGCTATATTTCTTTTAGGTCCCGTACTATTTTTCCAGTTAAGAATAATAGCAGGCCAGTAACATATTTCCAAAAGTTGAATATTATTTGTTTTAAACAGACTCTTAAGAACATTTAGCAAGAGGATAAACATTAGAATCGGGGGCGAGCCACTCAAATAAGTTTCGCAAACAGTTCAAACCTAATGGAGGTCTTGCGTTAAATATTTAAATGCTCTTACGGCTGTTAATTAATGCATAGACAATAGAAAGACGCGGGCAAAGAGATAAACAGGCGTTGCCTTTGCCATGCTTTCTAAGTTGAAGATTATGAAGTATGGTAAAATGGAACCAGTAAACATAAGAGCTAGTAACTTCGAGATTTCGTATATTTGAATTCTAAAATTGTTTTTTGAAGAACATAAGAGCATTTTGATTTGACATCGCGCCATTTTTAGAAGTTGATGTCGTTAGTTAGTAGTTAACATCAGCTTATCAACAACTTGATTACAAAGTAAGTACTCCTATTACGATTTTTATTTAAACTTACGAACTTTATTATGTAACATATGTGCAGTCCCAGACTTTTGAATGTACCTTTTAGTAACTATAAAAAATAATTGGTATCTGTACATTATCAAATTTAAATAAGAATTAATTTAATAATTCAATGTATCAAGATTGCGATGTTGAACAGCTAAGACAAATGTATTTATGTAAACAAAATATAATGTACTAATCTAATGTTCCTCCGATCGCGGTAAGACGAGTACCTTTAGTCCTGCGGTTGTTAACACCCACAAATCAACCAACACTAGTAAAGCCGAGTCACCAGAGCGTGCTTTGCACTATACAATCAACAAAAACTCATCAACATTCAACAAAATCATCTACACATATTTGTTTGCATCAACAATGTTTTTGCTTTCCGAGCACGATGGAAAACACCCACACAAATCCCCCCCGCGCAGGTAGAAGGGCAGAATATTGTTTCATAAGTAATTTTTTTGACAACTCGCTAGCGGGACTCCTTTCTAAACCCACGCTCCGAGTACAATTTATCACTTTAACATTTCAATTTTGACATCAAATGTACGAAACTTTTGTCATTTGACATTTGTTGCATCTGGATCGTAGCTTTTGGAAGCAGCCACAACATGTTCAGTGTGAGCAGTAGACGTCGTGTGTAGAGAAACATGTTTCAGAAACAAAGTTTTGTGTGTGTGTTTTTGTTGAATGTTTTCAAAAAACTTTTGCTTTACTTACGCTTGCTACTATTGTTATGGTCTAGCTTTTCTGAGATTTGTAGCAGCAGTGTGGATATTAAAATTATGATGACTATGATGATACTGCCCGAAAATCTGAACGTCAGAAAAGTTCTTCTCATCGTCGTAAATATTCAATGGAGGAGAACTCTCATTTACCACACGTAACAACTATAAAAATAATGAATCAGAAAAACTTTCAATCGATCGCAATTATGTGCATCGTTAGAAATCGATGGCTCGTTTAAAATGGTAAAAAAGAGCGACAAAAAGTTATCTTTTGTCCTTTTTCCGCTTTCACTGATCGCTCGGTGGGGTTTGAAAAGTGCTTTTGAGACGTGCCATAGGCGATTGTCACGTATCTGCTAACCGAAACCGCCGAAACCGCGTCGTTATAGAAATATGCTACCGTACACAATTGTGTTGAACCGAACTGTGGTGTACCGTAACACAAATGATAATTTCAATTTTTATACGACGAGCGAAGCTTTATTTTTACTTTTATCGTGGCTTTTGCCAATCCTGTACCCTATGGCATCACACATCAGCACGAAAATGTTATATCAGAATTTTTCAAATCTAGTCGTTCATGGACTCACAATTTCAATATATACGTTAAATACATCTATCTATTGTATTTTAAAAACAAGATAGAAGAATTCATTCAAACTTTCATTTATATTTTTGTTTCAATTTCGGATGACCAAAATCTATATATATAAAACTCAAAGGTGACTGACTGATATAGTGGATCACTGAACGGATCGGGCTGAAATTTGGCATGCAGGTAGATGTTATGACGTAGGCATCTGCTAAGAAAGGATTTTGATCAATTCTACTCCCAAGGGGATAAAATAGGGAATAAAAGTTTGTATGAAACTTTGCCAATTTTAAACCGATCGGGCTGAGACTTGGCATGCAGGTATAAGAAGAATCATACATGAATGTCATTGTGTATAATACAAGCCTGAGAACAAAAACTGTAGTCTACACTTCAGCTCTACACCGAAGCGAAGCGAGGGCGGGCCGCTAGTCTTATACTAAATTTGGTATTTTTGGGATGTGCTCATGACGGGTTTCCTATATCTGACAGTCTTGTTACTCCAAAATTCATCTGGCTTAATCTTAAATAATAATAATCTTCTTTCAATTAAAATTTTTGAGGTATTTTTATATAGTCATCGTTTGGTGGAATATTCATATGTCTGACTTTACAATGGCATACTTTTATGATGGCAGAATTTTATTATTTTATTCTGCATGGTCAGCCAAGTCCACGAAAGATTTTAGTTCATTTACGTTCGGAACTGACTTAACGTTTTTAGCAACTTAAGTAACGCATAGTTGGGTAAATAGATTAACACAACGGTCTTCTTCTTTCTTCAAATAAATTTTTGGAGCAAAACATCGAGCAACTGCCCACGCTTCTATTACGTAGTTATATGATCAACTGTAGTGGTGTAATTACTTACATGGTTTCTATTATAATATGTAACGATGTTATTATTTTATTTTTAAAGTGTGGCAAATAATCATATGACCCGCCTGATGGTATACCACCATAGCCTATAGACGCTTACTTTACAAAGCTATTACTCGTACCGTTACCTACCCTTTTTTTGTGACGCAGGCAAAACCTCTATTTACAGACGACGATACCTTTAAGAGGCACACCACCCTACGGACACCTGGCTCCCGCAAGCCTTACGAGCCCCCGCAGTGGCTGCCCACTGAGGACCCCGTAACTCTTAGTGCGCGAGCACACGATGCGTTGCGGCGCCGCACCGCAAATATTTCGCCACATCAGTGGGCACACGAGCGGTGCGGCGCCGCAACGTTGTTACATCGCAGCGGCGGACAACCCACCAGCATACATTCTCTATGACGCATAAACAACTGAGCGGTGCCGCTCCGATGTCGCAACGCAGGCACCCCTCCCCGCCTCGTCTCGTTTTTTGCAAGTCTGGTGCGACGCCGGAGCGCATCGTGTGACATGCGA